CAAAGTCAATATAACAAAACAAAACAATATAAAAATTAGCATATATACTACTAATAAAACCACCGGTAAAATGGACAATGATATATATATATATATATATATATATATACTATATATAATATATATATATTATATATATTATATATATATATATATATATATATATATATAACACACATAAAACACACAAACACACACTTATATTATATATATATATTATATATAATATATAATGTATAATTTTATAATATGCATACTATAATATATTATATATATACATTCAATTATATATAATATATTAATAATTACATTTAATATAATAATTAATATATATATTTAATATATATATATTATAATATTATATAATATAAATAATATAAACACACTCACACACACACTCACAGATTACTCATCAACAGTATTATTTATAACATCAAGATACACACACACATCACACTACATTATATAGGCAATGTATATATATATATAATGATATATAATCACAATATAACACACACTATACACATATAATATATATATAAATATATATTAATATATAATATTATAATATATATATATAATATATATATAATATATACTATATATATATATATATTTATATCCATAATATTAATATTATACAATGATCTTGTGTGCCTTATATGCTGATGTAAGTACAAAAAACAGGTAAAAAACAAAAAACAAAAAATAACATGAGGATGAAACGTGTTCTCTTCCTACGTGGGAAATAACTTTGATCCATAAGCGATATGCTTGTATTTACTATTGTGAATGATAGTGATTTTCTCCTACTAAGCTTTGGTATCGGTTTTTTGTGATAACTCACATAGAGATGATAGAGAGAGGGAGAGAGAAAAAGGTCACGTAGGGGTGAGAAGTGTATGACAGAGAGAGATGAAGATGAGAGAGAGGAGAGATGAGAGAGAGAGATAAGAGAGAGGGAGAGAGAGAAGAGAGAGAAGAGTAAGAGAAGAAGAGAGGAGAAGAGAGAGAAGAGAGAGTAGAGAGCAGGAGAGGAGAGAGAGAGAGAGAGAGAGGGTAAAGAGAGAGAGGGAGGAGGTAATATATAGAATAAGGGAGGGAAGGGAGCATAGTAGATATGTGATGAGAGAGAAGGCAGGATTAGGTAGAGAGGAGAGAGAGAGAGAGAAGGAGAAGAGAAGAGAAGAGAGTAAGAAGAGATGAGAGAGAAGAGAGAGTAAGAGAGAGAGAGAGGGAGGGAGGGAGGTAGAAGGGAGAGTGTATGGTGTGAAGAGAAGGAGTAAGAGATAGGAGAAGGAGAGTAGATTGAAGAGAGAAGGAGATGAGAGAAGAGAGATTAATGAGAGAGAGTATGAAGAGAATAAGGAGAGGAGAGAAGAGAGGAGAGCAGAGAGAGGAGATGGAGGAGAGAGAGAGAGAGAGAGAGAGAGAGAGAGAGAGAGATGATAGAGTAAGTAAGAGAGAAGAGAGAAGTAATAAAGAGAATGGTAAAGAGAGAGAGAGAGAGAGAATGAGAGAGAGAGAGAGAAAGAGATAATGAGTATATAAGAGAGAGAAGGAGAAGGAGAAGGAGAGAGAGATCTGTATAGAGAAATAGGAGAGAAAAAAGAAGAAAAATGTGAGAGGTGAGGAGGGGGTAGAATATATGGATACTATTCATGTCTAAATATAGCATCTGTTTATATTTTAGTAGAAGTGCCAACTTGTCTCGTTTCTATTAAAAACGTGTAATACTCACCTTTCGTGCGGTTGTTTGTAAACATATATGTAAATTTGAATCTCATTTCGCATATGTATGTATAACTGTACCTTTGTACTGCTGCTTGAAAATGTCTTTGTTACAGTCTATTTTTGTGCATTTGTTCACTACATTTCTTTGTTTACCTTAAGATGCAGCGATATTAACACGTGTTTGTCTGAACATCAAAATTCCATGGGACAGTGGACCAAGAAGCAGTGAATTCATGAATATCTAATGATTCAAATCAACTGCGATAAAAAGCCACATCTGAACGACTCACCTCTACTCGGGTCACGTTCAGCTGGGGCGAGAATCTGGCTTGGTCGTCCTCATGCACCGGTTCATGCGTTCCGTTCTCATGGCTCGTTCCCTGGTGTGGTTCATGGCGTTCCTGTGGCGGCGGTGGGGGCGTCTGTTCTACGCCAGGGAAGGCACGGAGGCTGTCGGGGTCGTGGGAAGTCGAGGAGCTGAGGTGGTCGTTGGGGAAGATGTCCCTGATACGGTGGTCGTATGGGTAGCGAGGGAAGGGCGAGGGGTAGGTGGTAGGTGGGTCTGTGTGGTCGTGGGAAGGGCTGAGAAGTCGTGTGGTAGTTATCGGTTGTTCGTTGTCGTAGAAGGCGGTGTGATTCGGGTTCTGGGACGCGAAGATATCCGGTGACAAGGAGAGCTCCTGACGATGGTTCTTCCCCTCGAGGACCCCCCCTGGCCACCCTTCCCCAGCCCCCTCGTCCCTGAGAGAAGAACCGGCCCAGCGCCCCCTCTCCCCCTCCTGCAGCGTCACGGGGGGTCGACCCGGGGAGCCCGAGCAGCGCAGAGGGCCACGGATCGCCCGAAGCGCTCACGGACTGAAGGAGGCATACCGAGGCTTGAAGTCCGGCCCGTCCTCAAGGTCGAGAATGCAGGGAGAAGCCAGAGCCACGTCGTCCTTCGAGCCTTGTTGACTTTCCCCGAAGGAATGCGAGTGCTTCCTCGACCTCCTTACTCGTCAAGAAACGCGACCAGCGTCTTCCTTTAGACGGACGCTGTTGCACGGGACTAACATCGAGCAAATTCCAGAGGCTCCACAACTTCAATGTGAGAGCTCCTGCCAGTTTGGAAGCTGGGAGAGACAAAGAGACAAAATAAAAAGAAAAAAAAAATAATAAAGAGACAGAAAATAAGATACAAAAAAAGACAAGGCAAACAACCATAATATCACGAATCAGTCGTTATTCCGCCTTCGAGCGACACTATGTCAGCTCTGCTTGCTCGCGTGTAGTCGTTCGAGATCATACACGCAGTCCGTTAGTTTCTATTGCTATGTCGAGTCGTGGCGGTTATAATAATTCATTCTCACCACGTCATCGAGATATCTATTAATTTGTCTAAATTCGCGCAACGGAGTGAACTGGAGTGCGCCGCTTTGCTGCTTTCGGTTAGTGTTCGCGTAGTGTTCTCTATTTGTGACTTTTAGACTATGAATCGAGTGCGGAGTCGGCCTATGTGGGTCCTGTTGCGCGAACACTCTCCGTGAGTGGTCATCGTCGCATACGTTGTTTCGTCACGCGCTTTGCTTGTTTCCAGAATGAGGAGCAGTGGTTCGTAGAAACGAACTGAGGAATAAGTATGCAAGTCATCAGTAAGTATAGTAATGAGCAGTAGCAAAGAGAGACAACTCACTACAAACACTCACACACAATGCTTGTTAACGGATTTATGTCTACGATTTCTCTGTGTGTGAGCAAAACACATAATTCGCAATAATACACGCTAAGGACTCCATGCAACAGGACACTCATATACACACACACAAACTCACATTACACATCACACCACTACACACACTAACACACACAGATAGTTGAGAAAAGAGAATAGTTGGATAAATATATTAATAGAGGAAAAGGAGGGAGATGTAAAGGAGAGAGAGAGGAGCAGGGATGGAGGTAAAGAGATAACGTAAGACAAAGGAAAGATGTAGCGGTAGAGAAGGGAGAAGAGGCAAGGTATAGAGGTAGGGAGTGAACGAAGATGAGGCGAAAGTAGTAGAGAGAGAGGAGAGAGAGAGAGAGGAGAGAGAGAGAGAGAGAGAGAGAGAGAGAGAGAGAGATGAGAGAGAGAAGAGAGAGAGAGAGAGAGAGAGAGAGAGAGAGAGAGAGAAGAAGAAGAGAGAGAGAGAGAGAGAGAGAGAGAGAGAGAGAGAGAGAGAGAGAGAGAGAGAGAGAGAGAGAGAGAGAGAGAGAGAGAGAGAGATAAGAGAAATGGTAATGCACTGTACCTCTCCAATCAAGGAATAAATCACTTTATCATAAAAAATCAAAACAAAATACCAAAACACAGGAAATATACATCCATCCCCCCACCACCCCCCCCCTTAAAAAATGAAAAACAAACAAACAAACACACCGGATAGACAGGGTATAAACTCGTCCCATCATATTGAGTAGAAGGTAGATAGCAGACTCCCTCATGCGCAGGTAGACTCTCATTCTCAACATAAGGCATTGGAGGGCAAGGTAGATAGTTGACTTGATGAGAAGGTGGATTACGCAACACCTGGTGATCAGCTGATGCATCCCGAAAGCCGTATAACAGCTGATGCTTCCCTCGAACCATCTGGATCATGTCTTGGCCTGTGGACTTTCCGCCAGCTGTTTTGGGTTGTGTGAATAGAAACGAAAGTGAATTAAGATTAACAGAAAAAAAGGATAGATAGATAGATAAATAATAAATACCCATTTATAGTATAATTGAGAGTCTTTCATGCTCTTTCATTTTATTTCTGATCACTATTGTAGACGTGATTAACGATGAAAATGATAATATTGATAATAAAAATAAGTATAACAATAATGATAGTAATAATGATAAAATAAAGATTATGATAATAATGATAGTAGTAGTAGTTGTATATAATAATAATAATAAAAACAATAATAATAATGATAATAACTAATAATAATAACAATAATAGTAATAAAAATAATAATAACAACAACAACAATGATAATAATAAAAGTAGTAATTACAATATTGATAATGATATCGATAAAAATGATGAGGAAAAAACGAAAATAATCACAAAAACACACAAAAAAAACACAAACAAAAACATTGAGCATCATTACCTACAAACGACTCCTCCCTCCGTCTTTGCCCCCCTTGCCCTTGCCTTGCTCCGCCCTTGCCCACCAGGTCGTCAGGGTGAATCAGTCCCGAAATCTCTAACCTGAAGGGGCAGATGGCGGAGGGTGGTTAATTGGGTGGGGGAGGGAGAGGGGGAAGGGAGGGAGAAGGAGGGGGGATGGAGGTAGGAGGAAAGGGAGGGATGGAGGGGAGAGAGAGGGAGGGGTGTAGGGAGGAGGAGGAGGGAGGGGGAGGGGGAAGAGGTGTGGATGAGGAGGGGGAGGAGGGGGAGGGGAGATGGAGGAGGGGGAGGGTGTAGGGAGGGGGGGAGGAGGGGGAGAAGGTAGGGAGGAGGGGAGGGGGATAGGGAGGAAGGGAGGGAGGAGGAGGAGGAGGAGAGAAGGGGGAAGGGGAGATGGAGGAGGAGGGGAGGAGGAGGAGGAGAAGGGGATCGGAAGAGGTGTGAAGGAGGAGGAGGAGGGGGGGAGGAGGAGGGGGAAGAGGGAGGGAAGCTGGAAGAGAGGGAGGGAGGGATGGGTGGGGAAGAGAAGTGGATGGAGAAGGGAGGAGGAGGAGAGAAGAAAGAGAAGGAGGAGGAAAAGGAAGAGGGAGAGGTGAAAAGAGAGGTGAAAGGAGTAGGAGGGAAAGGTGATGGATATAGAAGGGAAAGTAGAGAGATCGTGTGTTGGGGGAGAGGTGATGGTAGGAGGAAGGAGGATCAGTAGGAGGATAAGAGGGAGGGAAAGGGAGGAAGAGGTAGAATAATAATAAGAAGAAATGGAGATGAAGAAGGAGGAGAAGGAGAAGAAGAAGAAGAAGAAGGAGGAGGAGGAGAAGCGGGAGGGGAGGAGGAGAATAATTAAAGTGAAGGAGAAGTAAAAGAGAGGGAGGGAAGGAGAGAGAGGGAGGGAGAGGAGAGAGGGAGAGAGGGAGAGAGGGAGAGAGGAGAGAGAGAGAGAGAGAGAGAGAGAGAGAGAGAGAGAAGAGAGAGAGAGAGAGAGAGAGAGAGAGAGAGAGAGAGAGAGAGAGAGAGAGAGAGAGAAGAGAGAGAGAGAAAGAGAGAGAAAGAGAGAGAGAGAGGAGAGAGAAAAGAGAGAGAAAGAGATAATTGTGAAATGGTCTGAAAATACTCACAAGACAAGATTAATATCCATTAAACAAATTTAATCTTAATCAGCAACTAATCTGAGTCACTTTAAAATTCATAATCTATCTTAATAACGGACAAGGATTCATAAACATTTATCTAATTCATTCATTTAATGATTTTATACTGTATTAACTTTCACTTAATATTAATATTTATTCATGTAATGTTTATATCTATTTTTGTGCATTAGCCTATAACAGGGGTCGGCAACCTGGCCTATTATTTGTATCTACTTGTTTCCTTATCTATTAACTATTATTAACTATTTACAAACAATTAACATTTACATTTTGTTTACTAATTTGTTTTTGTTTTAACTCTGACACATCATAATTTTGATTAGCCTTTGGATAATATTAATTACAATTTATGCATCTGACTCTAATTCTATTTTTTTTACAATACGTAAACAAAACAAAATCAAATGAAAACAAAATAAAATCAAAAGAAAGGAAAAGAAAACATAACAAAGAAATCAAAAGAAAAGAAAAGAAAAAAAACAAACAAAGGAAAAAAAAATAAAACAAACAAATCAAGACAACATCAAAGAACACCAAAACAAAAACAAAACAAAACACAAAAAACAAAAACAAGAGAAAACTAACCTGTATTTATTACGCCTTGGCAACACACTCTCATTCTCTCCCACCGCGCTACAGTCGCCATCACCATCACCATCACCATCACCATCACCATCATCATCACCGTCAGAAAGGTGTGACAGCGCAGGTGTCCAGAGGTTGGTGACGTCACACAAAGGGTCACGTGAGGAGAGAGACACCTGTAAGAGGGAGAGGTTGTGTAAGTGTGGGTGGGGGGGAGACAAAGGGAGAAATGGTGGAGAAAGGGAGGAGGATAAGGAAAGGAGGAGGATGGGTGGAAGGAAAGGGAAGGAGGGTGGCGAAAGGGTGGAGAAAGGGAGGGGGAGAGACAAAGGGAGAAGGGTGGAGAAAGAAGAGGGAGAAGGGTGGGGAACGGAAGGGGGTAAAGAAAGGAGGAGAGGGTGGAGGAAATGGAGGGGGAAAGGAGACAAAAGGAGAAGGGTGGAGGAAAGGGAGGAGGGAGAAGGGGAGGAAAGGGAAGGGGTATGCAGGAATGGGAGAAAGGGAAAGGGAGAGTAGAAGGGGAAGGGAGTAAGGTAAAAGAAGAAGGGGGAAGGAAGGGAGGAAGACGAGGAGAAGAGAGAGGAGGAGGAAGAGGCAGAGAAAGGTAGACCGAGGGAAAAGGAGAGGAATAGAGATAGGAATGTGGGAGACAGAGGGAGAAAAGGGAGAGGAAAATAGAGAAAGTGAGAGAATGACGAGTGAGTGAGTGAAGAGAGAGAGAGAGAGAGAGAGAGGAGAGAGAGAGAGAGAGAGAGAGAGAGAGAGAGAGAGAGAGAGAGAGAGAGAGAGAGAGAGAGAGAGAGAGAGAGAGAGAGAGAGAGAGAGAGAGAGAGAGAGAGAGAGAAGAGAGAGAGAGAGAGAGAGAGAGGAGAGAGAGGAAGGAGGGAGAGAGTTTAGGTAAAGTGAACAAAAGAACACAATAATTTCAATAACCATCAGAAATCAATGAAATGAAAAAGAAATGAAAGAGGAGAAGAATGAAAAGATGAAGAAAATGATACGAAAGAAAGGAAAAAAAACAGAAAAAAAAGAAGAAGAAAAGTATAATCCACTTTGGGCTCCACTATTTCTGATTATTTATTTCATTATATGTTTATCATGCATCACTACTTCACTCAAACACTGTCATATCAGTTATTGGTTTATCTTTAAATATTCAGTTTTTAAAATCTAAACATAGTTATCATAAATGTCAATAAGATATAGTATGTGGAAAAAAAACACAAAACAAACAGAAATAAGTGAAAACGACAGAAAAAAATCTAAACATACTTATATACATCTTGACTGTCAATTAGAAATAGTATATCATGGGAAAAAAACATAAAACACACAGAAATGAAATGAAAACAGCAAAATATCACCAAAATACAAACGTGTCTCTGACTGTGTCTTTTCGCCGACTTGTATTTCAGGCCAAATTTCGTTCCCGGCAGGATATTTTCGCCATTAATGCGATTTCCTCTTCTCATAGACAAGTTTAATGCCATCGCTGAGCTCATTTGAAGCCAGGGAGCGGAAGAGATGGAAATTATAAGTAAAAGATTGTAAAAGAATGAAAGAGAGTGAGAGATAATAGAGACAATAATTGATAAAAGAAAAGTATCGCAAATTTCCTCTTGTAAATTTCCCGCCAATATTGACGCAGCAATGCAACGTCTGCCTACTTCGTGTGGATTATTTATTAATCAATTTTGGATCCCATTAATCAAGATTCAAAGAGTATTTGATTATAGCTCAGAAAGTAAATGTATATTTATGAATCTTATAGAGAAGGTATTACTATTATTCTTTTTACATAATCATCCCAAGTTGAAAATTAAAGCCCAAAAAATCCACATGATTGAAATATATCACATATCTCATCCCATTCACTTGAAAGAAGAGTACATATCCTAAAAATATACACAATCACCCTTAAATGAGATAATACGAGATAAAACGGGAGAAAAACTGATAAGCGTTTCTCAGAGATCAGCTGAGTGTGACTCTCCACTCCCACTCCGAAAATTTCCGAGACGTGGCGGCGAATCTTCTCTGATTTCTCCCGATTTTGAGGTGATTTATCGTTATTTCCGAGTTATTTCTGAGTGTAAGTGTTGTTTTAGGATGTGGAGGCTACGGTGGACAGGGTAGAAGGGCGTGTCATGTTGTACATTTTGCGTAAAAGGAAGGTTTAATAAGACGGCCGTGTTAGGTATGATTTTATTTGTTTGTTTGTTCGTCGTTTTTTTCCTATTTTAGGGAGAATTATACGATAATTTCCGTAGTGTGATGTCAATATGTTGATAGAGCCTTTTTTGTAGAATATATCCTGTCGTTACTTGATACGAATTGATTTAGTATTAGTTTATATTCCCTTTCATTACTCTGTTGTATGACTCATTGTCATACAGTTTGATTTTTAAATTTATTTGGTAATTTTACACAAGAATTCCACGTAATGGATTGCGAAGACTTTGGTATTGATGGGTTCCTCTCGTTATTTCCCTTTCCAAGTATATAATAATTATAGCGTGGATACCCCAAGCCGTGACTTTCTTCGTCCCAAAAGCAGGAGAAGGTATGAAAGGTGCCAGGGGAATTATGAATATAAATAATGCACCTAGAATCAGTTGCCGTATCCCTACCCAGGAAAACAAAGGGTAAAGTTTGGGAAAAGGCGTCGCCAACACTTCTCGGGACTAAGCTAGATTCGTTCGATTTCTATTGTTTTGGTTCGTTTGATTCTGGTTTTCGTTTCCATTGGAAGTGGGTTGAACGGGAATGTCTTCTTCCATGCCAGAATTGCGCCGCTCTTGATATGCGTGTGCAGTGTGGAATTCTCGATCTCTGCTGTAATCACAGTACCAATTAGCCACGAGCCGCTGGGTGGCATGTATTATTCATATTTTTGGAATAGTTTTAGTTCCACTTCACCATTAGTTAGAAAGAAAATTTTACCTTTAGTGGATGTAATAAACGAAAATAAGAAACTTTTTCCATATTTTACCCCACAATATCCCAGGTACCTTTCATGTCCTATCTTGCTATTGGGGCCAAAGTTGTCACCAAAGCCCACGCCCAAAATGCTCAATCTCCACCACATCTGACTAGTTCGATAGACCCTGAACAGGTCCAAATGATGCATCTTCTGAGTCGAGGTGGAGACAAATGCCCAACACTGCATACTTAATTCTGAGTTCTGTGCAATTCATCAATTTTTGCATGATCATACTGTTCTACTTTACTGATTCCAGTGGTATAAGTTACCAAGTGCGGAGACAGAGGGAAATGTACACACCATCGTATAGAGCGTAAGAAATAGAGTAAGGAAAAACATAGTTTAAGCAGCAGTTGCCTGATATTTACCAGTAAATGACAAAAATGTCTGCTGCATAGCACCACTCAGAGACG